TTAAAATAAGAAACCTTTCGAATGTGAGATATTTTAGAATTACTGAAGTTTGATAGAGAATCATATTTGAAATTTCTCTCTTCCCCTTCCTAATCAAAGATCTGTTTTATCTAGACGAGCCAGCTGTGAAGAGTAGAAGTTATAATCTCCACTTAAAATGGGGATGAATAAAGACTTCAAAACACCCAGCAAGTGACTACTTCCCAAGTTATTTTCATTTGGTTCTAGAATGTGTATTAATTTCCAGGAATCAACTGCAAATCACATCTACTTACTTGTTCCACATTTATTTATTAGTTTCCATATCCAGGTGCTGCACTGGCTCTAGACTGACTAAATCAATGTCTCCCTGACTCTAGTATCAGAATATATTGGTTGGGAAAGGCAGACAAATAACTTAGGGATATAGAGACTATGATCAAAGTATAGCAGAGTGAAATGGAAATGTAGAGGAAAGACGTCAAATCCAAACTTGGGCCTGAAGGAACTAAACAGAGAAAGGCATATTTGAAACAAGTTTTAAAGGATTATTAGGTGTGGGAATGTGGAAAGGAGCAAATTAAGGCACCTCAGGGACAGGAAATAAACGCGCCTCTTACTTAGAAAAGAAAACTAAACGTTCCTACCCATCTGACTTCAACAGACAGGGCTCTTTCCTGTGAGCTAAACATTCTTCCCGTCTTTGCTGAAGCAGGCAGTTAGGGTTTAACTGGTCTCTTGTCTTCCTACTACAGAAAAAGTAAGAGAAAAAGAAAAGTCCGTAACATATCAACAAGGCCAGTTAAATAAGAAGTAGGTGCCAATTTTCAAGAATGAAAAATGTCGTCAAAATATCGTATATTTTAATAGCTCTATAAATTTCAAATGACAATAAGAGATCTTTGTAGCAACAGTCTACATCGGGAGACATTTTTCTTCACTTTCCAGCGAATAGGAGTATTTAAGACTTCAGTAAATATAAAAACAACATTTGTCATCAAATCATCGCAAATCTGCCCAGCAAATAAGAATTACATACGCTTAAGAATTCCCGGTTTTGGGCTTCCCTGGTGGCGCAGTGGTTGGGAGTCCGCCTGCCGATGCAGGGAACACGGGTTCGTGCCCCGGTCTGGGAAGATCCCACATGCCGCGGAGCGGCTGGGCCCGTGAGCCATGGCCGCTGAGCCTGCGCGTCCGGAGCCTGTGCTCCGCAACGGGAGAGGCCACAACAGTGAGAGGCCCGCATACCGCAAAAAAAAAAAAAAGAAGAGATCTTTACATAGCAGACTCTTAAGAATGCCTATTGAATAAATGATTAAATTTAAGCTTTATTACTTTCACTAAATTTAGGCCTTAGGATGACGACTTGAAAGTTAAATGATCCAAAAGGAGCTATATTTGCAAACAGTGAAAAAAAGGTCATCACATCTACAGAAAATAGGCTATCAGCTAAAATCATATAGCAGAGTTAAAAATGGCACTGAATCAGTTTCATGGTAATTTGCTGTAAGATGCAGGCAAGACTAGTTTTGTGTGGAAATAATAAACTTTTGTATTTAGTCCTCATTGGATTTGGCTTTTATTAATAATCTTAGGAAAATGTAGGTAAGATAATACTGTTTTGTCATCAAAAAAAACAGGAATTCTTTTTTTCTTTTTTTTTGCGGAGCTATAACAGCTATAATTATTTGAAAGGTGACTGTCAAAAACAGATTTTAAGCAACAAAGCCTTGTATAATAAACAGGTTCAGCTTGTCTGCAGCAAAACTGTTAGATCAAGTATGCAGACTACAAAGGTTAGTACTTTTGAGGTGAAGGTTTGGGGCTGATCTAACTGAACTAAATACTACAAAACTGGGAAGAGGATGGACAGAGTGCTGACTGCTTCTCAGACTTTACTCCTTGAACTCAGGGCTGTCCCTCGCTGGTCACAAGGTGTCACTGTCGCTGCCCTGGATGTGCCTCTCCATCTCAGCCCTGACCACCCTCCTCAGTGCAGCCTGGTTCCTCCAGCACATTCACACAGAGACACGTAACGCTCCTTCATACTCTCACACAAATACCTCACACACTCACGTACTCACACACAGACCCATGTACTCACACACACACTCACAAATACTGTCACACACTGATGTGCTCTAACATGCTCATATGCACACTGTCCCACGCTCACATACACTGATACACACTCACAAGCTGATACACAGACACACACCGATACACACACTCACACACACTCCCTCCCCTTCCTGCTCGCCCTGCAGGTCCCTGATCAGATTCCCTCTGAGCTGCTCAGCCTTCGTCCTGGTGCCCCAGCTCCTACCAGCTAAGCCACAGCCCTCCAGAGAACCACACACCAGACTCTCCTGCCCACCCCCCTGACTCTAAGATAACTGGGAACAGAAACTGTGTTTTTCCATATCCTCTTAGCACAGTGCCTGGCTCACAGTGAGAAAATGTTTGTTAATAAAGAAATGAACCCTTGATGATTCTGATCTGATCTGATTCTTCTGAGCTGAATTGCAGGGATGTCTCTCTCTCTCTCTCTCTTTCTCCGTCTCTCTCTCTCCCTCTCCTTCTCTCTCTGTTTCTTTCTGAAATAGTTTATAATTCAGTCTTTAATGTGACTATATCTAGTCTTATTGTATTACTCTTGCTATTTCTCTTCATACATGCTGCTGTACTATTAAAATGCAGAAGCGTTGCAATTCTCAAGATTGGCTGCAAAAGCCGTCTTTACCTGCTGGTGGAAGCCCAGGAGCCCCTCTCATTGCTGTGGAGGCAGCCTGCTGGCTCTGGTCTTTACAGAAACGCCAAGTTGAGTTCTACTCAAAATAGTCAGCTCGAGCTTCCTAGAAGCCCTTTACTGTGTGGTTGTTTTCTTTATCTCATTCAATCCTAGGACAAAAGAGTTACTAGAAAGAGTGAGGGACATATTTCTTTAACCTCTGGGCATGCACTGACTTAGTATTTAAAGGGAACGTTGTGACACAGGTGCTTTGTCATATTTCACACTTTTAATTTTACCACACATAGCATAGCAGGTATTCTTCGTTCCATCTATGGGGTCCTGGAAATACTCGCAGGTAGAGTCATGCAGATGAGATGTTAATTGCATGTGATTTCACTCATGATTGAAGGTCGAGGAGTTCTGAGAAATAGTCACAACATCAAAATGTAAAAAGAAAAAATATAACCATATTGTCTCCCTTAGCAAAAATGTCAAGGATTTCTAGAGACACGGCATGGAAATTGGCTTAAGCTTTTGATCTGTTGTTAGAAAAGCTTTCAAAACTTTCATAAATTTTAGAAGTCAAAATTCATATATCTAATGAAAATTATTTTCAATATATGCTGTTGTTGCTTGTGTAAAATTTTTCTGTGAAGGCTGGCATTCCCTCACCAGAAGAAAAAACGTGGGTTTTTTTTAGAAAGCTGTGAGCCCCAGCAATGCCTTTTTATTGTATTAGAGGCCCTGTGATCAGAAGGGATTCTCTTCTAGTTCATGAGGAAAAGCCCACCAGCCAGACAAGGAGCCAGGCCTGGCCCACATGACAATCTGCTTTCTCCTTGGGCACATGCTGTGTCTGACACCACAGAGGACAATCCCTGAAGGATGCAAACCATAGCTTTTGCAAGGAAAAATCACTTTTGTGATTTGAACGTTGGAAGCGTTATTTTTGTCAGAATAGTACTCCATGGGAGACTGCATGTTCTCTTTCTTTATTTTCTAACAACATTCTATGGTCTTGATAAAACGAAGAAAAAGTGACAAATATGGCTTGACATCTCATTGATCAAACCCATTTTTGATGCTAAGGCGGTGTGACTGAGCACAGGGAGAAAGCATTACCCAGGTTTGATGACGTTGGCTGTCGAGCAGAGCAGTTGATACTCGTATCCTTAGAGTCAAGAAAACGTGTCACAGATAATGTTTTTATGGGGAGTTTAAAATGCCAGGGCAAAGGTGGAAATGTCATCCACAGAGAGGAGCAAGAGATTCGAAGGAAATCTATATTAAACTGCTATAGTACAGACTTATGCTATGTGAAAAAGTCAGAAATGTCTCTGGATGAGTGTCAGTGGAAAACTCTTATCCAATTTCTGTGCAGTGATGTGGGGGCTTGGCCCAAACTTTCTAACCTTTCGGATCTCTGCATATAAAAATAGTTAGAAGGCTTGGGTTCCAATTCTGTCGTGGTGCTGACCCATGATAGGATATGAGACCCAGTTATGACACTAATCCTTAGTCATCTCATGCACAGAGGGCTTATATTAGGATCAGATTCATCCATGTTTGTGAAAGCATTCAATACTACAAGATTTTGTGTAGGTGAAAGGTATTCAGAGGTTTCAAGCAAAGAAAAACCGCGAATATAGAGAAGTCGGGAAGTAATGGGAATAAAAAGAGAGTGATCTAATCAATATCTTAGATAATTGGAGTTTTCTAAAGGGGAAAGTTATTTTTAATATCTTCTCCCTAAATTTTTTTAAGTGAGGATGGTCTACTTTTGAGATTTGTAAAAGGAAATCAATCACATTCTTTTGCTGATCTGTGATCCACTGCAGTTCAGAATGACGGGGATCAGACCTTCAGTCCGCACACATCCAAGTCACATTCAGGAGGACAGTCGTGTGTTTAATCTAGTTCGACATTTTTCAGCTATTCACTTATATATTTTTATTTTGTATTTAATTAATTTTTCCAAGTAAATTCTTTCCTCAAATTAAATCAATCTAAAATATACTGGATAGTAAACAAATCTCAGTCTATTATTTATAAATAAGATAAAGTACATTGGAATAACTTAACATAACTTTAAAATACAATGTTATAATGTCAAGGGAAACAATTGTGGAGATTGTTTTATTTCACTGCTTAAATATAGCTTTTTAGTTTTCTTAAGGTAGATTTTTTAATGCTCACCCCTTACCTGGGAAACTGGTTCAGGAAACATTCCTTCTCCATCATTCCTATGTAGCCTTGCCTGACTTCCATGGCATGTGCTCATTTTCAGAGCTGGAGGCCGAGGAGTGGTGCAAGCATCTCTGCATGGAGTGTCTGGGGACTAGGCTGAATGACATCAGCCTCGGGGAACCTGATCTCTTGGCGGCAGGAGTGCAGCGGGAACAGAATGGTAAGTGCGTCTCCATCCTTCCTTTCTTTTAAAGTGCACTGGGAGCTATAGAACTTTGAAAGTGGAAAGGACCTCAGAAATGTTTCAGACCAATCCTTTTTAAGGGAAAATAAACTGATCAACCTCAGCTGTTAAGGGACTTTCTCAAGACTGCATACCAACTAGAAAAATACTAAGGTACAATCCAGGTCTCCTGCCTTCTTGCCCTGTGATATTGTCATTTATCTCAATAAATAAGTTACCTCAACAATAAGTTTATTCATTATATATAAGGTTTTGAATGGACAGCATTCCTACATTTTCTTCTTTGATAGTTGTTATAGATTTGGAGTCTAAATAAATAAGTTCGGCTTATTGTGTTATTTTTCCGTAGATTTTAGGGAATGTGGCTAATAGTATGTCTTTGCTCAGTCTGCCATAACAAAATACCATGGACTAGGTGGCTTGAACAACAGGAATTAATTTTTCACAGTTCTGGAGGCCAAGTTCTTGCTGTGGCCCCACGTGGCAGAGGGGGAGAGAGAATAAGCTCTCTCCTGTCTTTTCCTGTAAGGGCACTAATTCGTTATGAGGGCCCCACCCTCATGACCTCATCTAAGCTTCATTACTCCCAAAGACTCCATCTCTAAATCCTATCACCTTGGGGGTTAGGGCTTAAACCTATGAATTTTAGGGGGACACAATTCAGTCCATAGCATACTACACGTAAGGAAGTACAATGCATGAAATCTCAGGGTTTAACAAAATTGAGGTTTATGTGACATGTTATTTACTTACTGCACTGCTCTCTAATTAAACATTTCTGATGTCTCTTAAGAAGTTATGCTGCCTCTTCTTGACTAACATCTCTAAATAATGAAATCAGAGTAATGTCATGAGATTTTTTTCCCTCCATTTTAAAAAATAATTATCATTATCACCAGAAGATCTAGTAGTATGAAAATAGAAACTTTCCAATGTTCTTAATTTCTATGGCTAGTGTTTTTGAAAAGGTTGAGGGATGTTGGTGAAGGTTGACACTACTTATTAAAAAGAAATTCTGGAATTATCTGTGGTTTATACTGTAGACAGCACCAGTAAAATGCATCAGGATAATACTTAGCAATAATGGTTTTGTTATAAGTAATAATATTCTAACAACCATCACTGTCTCATAGACCATCAAAGACATTATTTTTTGGGTTCTGCTACACTGAAAAAATGTTTTCCCCACGACCTGATTATAAACATACGTGGGCACCAACTTTGCCCATGTTGGTAGTTTCAGAAAGTCAGGAAGGCCTTTCTGTGGCTCTTTTTCTAGCTTCCTTTTGATATTCCAGTTTCTCTCCCACACTTTCTTGGATTTCATCTCTCCAATTTAGTTTCTGAGAACTGTGCTAAGTACAGAACGCCCATAATTGTGCTGCTTAAAATATGCTGTTCATTCTCAGTTTAAGAAAAGAAGAAAAAAAAAAAAACTCTTTACCAATAAACATTCGTCAAGTACTACATAAAGAAAATATGAAGAAAGTGCATAAATTAGGCCTGTGGGTGGAAGCATTACTGTGTGCTGCTTACTTGGTGTGAACTGTATGCTTTTACTTTAAAGATCTGGGGTTGTATATGGTTTCCATCCAAATGGATAATGTACTCCTTTGGTTCATTATAATTTCTATTTCTAATTTGATGATAATGTGAAAGTACCTTACCTACAATATAAAGGGAAAACTTTAACATAAATTTTTTAGGATAGGACAAACATGGAGTTAAATGCCAGAGCTCTATAAGAAGCACAAGCAGATATAGCCTAACAAGCAAACTTTTCAGGATGCAACTTGAATGTAGGCTACACCCCTTAATTAGGACAAGTTCCTAAGGCTCTTCTAATTTCAGTTTGCTCATGTGTGAAAATGAACTAATACCAATTTATGGTGTTGTCATGATGGTTACATGAGATAATATAAAATAAAGACTAACTCTCATGCCTAGCTCAGTTTTTTAAAAAAGCACAAGTTTGTTTGTTTAAAGCACAAGTAAAAATAAAGAAATCAAAAACTAATTCCTGCATATACTTTAGAGAAGACCTGAAATTATAATAACATCCTATGCCATCCAATGCTTTTTTAGGTTTAATTTGTTTAATAAGCCTAAATTGATAAAAAGGGTTATATGTGCTTTTAATATATAGTAATTATTTAGTTAAAGAAGGTAGTATTTGATCCATTTAAATGACCCCCTAAAAGTACATGGTACCATAAAGGAAATTGGCAGTCTTACACACACACACACACACACACACACACACACACACACACAATCATGATCACTGAGACCCTTCAGTGTTTAGCGTTAAAAGGAAAAACTTAGCTGGAAGGATTTCTTTTCCCCAGGAAGTACCTTCCACGTGGGTGAATTTCTCTCTTTGAGTCCAAGGCCATGGACATAGCCATTGCTCCAAGCTCTTCGAGTTACATACACTTTCTTTAAAATGCTTCCTCAAGTCCAAATAATAACATCTTTCCTTTGTTTCTTTTGGCCATTGAAAACTAGCTAAAACTTTTTAAAAGAATAATTTATACCAAAGGACAACATGAAAGGCATAAATCTTGACAGAATGTCTAAATTACAGACTCTACTATTGCCAGCTCAAAAATCCCAGTGAATATGTGTTTACATGCTGCCTGGAAGAGAAGCACACACACACAAATTGGCACGATTTGTTACTTGCATTCCCCACTTTTGTCACTTCCTAATCAGTAGACCTCTCCCGTAAACATGCTAATTCCATTTTAAGTCCGCCCTGAAATAACTACCAGTAGTCTATAAAATCCTATGCTAAAGACTAAGAATGCTCCTTAGCTAACTTGAGCCCTCTCCCTTGAGCCCCGGGATCGCTTTAGGGACACCCCTGTTCATTTTACTGCATGTAGGGAAAATGTTTGTTGTTTTAGCTAACTAAAGTATTTTAAAAAATAATATTATCTTTTAAAGCTGTACTTCCATAGTTTTCAATCATAACACCTCTTAATATAAACAAATTCTTTAACTTCCTAATACATGTTTTAAGTCATTAATATGTTCAGATTGGAATCAATCCTTTATGAAAGATTTGTCATCACAGATTTAGGTTTTTTCCTTAAGGCATTTTAGTGTTAAATTCTATAATTTCTTTTTTTTTTTTTTTTTGCGGTACGCGGGCCTCTCACTGTTGTGGCCTCTCCCGTTGCGGAGCACAGGCTCCGGGCGCACAGGCTCAGCGGCCATGGCTCACGGGCCCAGCTGCTCCGCTGCATGTGGGATCCTCACAGACCGGGGCACGAACCCATGTCCCCTGCATCGGCAGGCGGACTCTCAACCACTGCGCCACCAGGGAAGCCCTAAATTCTATAATTTCTTATTCATCAGAAACATTATTTTAATGTTGTATCAGTGATATGCTGGGATTTAGTTTGAAATTTCTCCTAAGAGATGAGATACACATGCATGCGTGCAGAATTGATGTAATAAATTACATTACGGTGGCTTGTGGTAATCTTGTGGTATCCCGTCATCAAGGGAAGACTCATTGCTCAGTCCTAACCACAGCATGTTTTTTCTGACATTCAAAATTGCTACTACTCCTCTAGTGTTTTTCTGACTCTTCAGACAGCTTGGTCTTATTTACTCTGAGACTAGCAAAGAGTAAACATTCGTGCAATTAATTTTTACATGTGTAATGTATGTTGCTAAGATAAAAGTGATTATTGATTAAATTCTTTGCTATAATCATTTTTCATCTAGTGCTGTTAGCTGCTTTCCTATTGATTCAGAATCCCACATAGTATAGGTGAAAATAAGGGAACACAAGTACACACACACACACACAAACTTATTCTTGGACTTCAGATAACACTGCCACAAAAGAGTGCATACTAAGTAGACATGTTGAATTTTAAATTCTTACAACTTGCAGAATCTTCACATCTTTCAGTTGTATTTAAGATAGCCTATGCTGACCTTAGAAAAGATTAATGTAAGGTGTTATAATCATAGTTATTTAGAAAGGAGTCACAATACGTAATAGCAATTCTAGAAAACAAATGTTACGTGTTAATCGTTAATAGCAGAAGTAAGCATCACGACCAAGAAGCGAGTCACTTGTGTGAAGTTCCTGCTGCTGCAGTTGGAGGTAGACTCAAGGATATGTCCATTTTGCTGTTGATACAAGAGATCATTATCCAAAACAAAATGGAAAAATAACCTCAGACTTTGCCATCTGGTTAATGCAGAGTCAGATTTGAGGGTTTAGTTTTTTCCAGGACCAAGCGTCCCTGCTTATGAATGGTCTAGAATTGGCACGAATTCCTACTTTTAGCCTAAGAATGTGTGTATAACCTTTCTGCAGAAGCAAAGCGGTATTCCAGTGTTGTTTCTAAATTATTTACTCGGGTTGCCAGAGTAACCATGCTCCCTACATTCCACTCAGGGTCCCTTGTATGTCACTCACTCATTCATTCTTCACCCAGCAAATATTTTTGAGGCTATGCTATGCAAGAACTAAGCTGAGGAAATGTAGAATTATGTAAAATAGGGCCATTACTTTTAAAAAGCTCACAGAATAGTGAGGGAGACAAACCTACAAACAAGGTGTATTGATCAATGTTTTTTAAAATAATGCTGTGTTCTTGGTCACACAAAATCTCAATAGCACAGACCTGGAAGTGTGTCTTTATCATTCATGCATAGGTGGGTTGGCTAGGGTTCATTGGATTTAGGCTGGGTAATGCTGAGACTGGCTCCAAGCTGCACGTGATGTCTGCATCTCTTCCGTGTATATCTCATCCTCCTGACACTAACGGCTACCTAAGGCATGTTCCCAAAACAAAAACATTAGGGCAAGAGATCAAGCCCAAACTTGCAACATAATTTAAGTCTCTGCATTTGTCATGTCCACTGACATTCATTGACCAAAGCAAGTCCTGTGGCCAAGCCCAAAGTCAAGGGGTACAAAAGTACACCCCACCTGTGGGGCCACGACA